TCTGTGTCTACGAAATTCCAGCTGTCTGTCTCTGTTTATGAGTATAAGCGTCCTTATTATTTATATGTTTACTAATATTTTCTCATTGCTCACACGCTCCCGTTCATGGCATTCTCAGCATCTTTCTGTAGAACTACATTTCGCAAGTCTTCGCTTCATATGTGCCGAAATGATTCATCATTCACTACTATATGAGAGGATTGATATGACATAGAAGTTCAATGCGTGTAACGAAATTCACTTGTTTCTTAGCATTTTGCTGAGCTTTTGGAAGACATTTTACTGTTCAAGTGCGTGTTCGGATTTCAGTGCATTACTACAAATACGAGGCAATGTACAGGTAATGGATAGCGGCTCGGATCGAGGAATCAGAGAGCCGAGTTCGAATTCCAGTCAAATCCATTCACTTACATGCTAATAACCTTGGAAAATTTATCAATCCTCTACTTCTTGCACCAGCTGTGGGTTCTATAGCTGTGGATGGCAAGATACATGATCACCCAAGTGTGTATCCCGCATGGCACATAACTAACTGACCCTTGCGAAAGGTATGGATCATCCTGCCTACCGGCTAGGGGTAAATAGCAGAACAGGCCGGATTTGGATGGCAACCGGTCTATCGCAGACAGAAATGGCAACCTACTGCAGGAAAAAAAAATCTGCTTCGTCAGTCATGTATCGAAAGATACATGATCGCCTAAGCGTGTATCACGCATGGCACATAACTGACTGACTACAAATATCCCTATTGATACAATTAGATTTTGTTCTAAACGTATTGTTGAGTAGTAAATTAATTTTCCCCTCCTTCGAATTCCACTCAAATCTATTCCATTCACAGACGCACTAATACCCTTGGGAAAGGTAGGACTCCTCTTCTTCTCCCTTCAGCTATGAGTAATTAGCAGGACAGACCAGGATCTATAGCCTTGGATGGCAGCTGGTCTACCGCAGAAAGAAAGGCAACCTATTGCGGGAAAAATCTGCTTCGTCAGTCATGTATCGAAAGATACATGATCGTCTAAGCGTGTATCACGCTTGGCACGTAACTGACTGACTACGAATATTCCTATTGATACAATTAGATTTTGTTCTAAACGTGGCAATAAATTTATACAAAAATATTAACTTAAATTTTCGTTTCAATTACGAAAGCAGTAGTAATCTTAAAAGCAGTAGTAGTCTTAAAAGCATTAATAGTAGTCGTAGTGGTGGCAGGCAACAACAGTAGTAGTAGTACTATTAGTAGATTTAGTAGCAGATATAGTAGTGGCAACTGTCGTAATTATAGTAACAATCGTAGCAGCTGAAATAATAGCAATAGTCCTGGATGTAGTTATGGCAATAGTATTAGTATTAGTCGATTAGTCGAGAATCCTTGCAGAAGTACCAGTAATACTACTAATAGTTAGTATTGCTAGCTATAGTACTGGAAATAGTAATGTAAGTTGTAACAATTTGGCGAAAAATGTCTTCCAAAAGCTAAACAAAGTAAAAAGGCACAGAATATATTCCTTAGAAACAAAGAAAAGCTGCTGGACTGCTACATGCTATAAAACATCTTGTATGGCAGTGAACGCTGGACAATCTCGCCACGTATGAAGAAAAAACTGGAGATGACAGAAATGTGGCTCTACAGAAGCATACTGGGAATTCAATGGACGAAGCTTGTACTTCACAAATAAGTCTTAAAGAAAAAGGTAACAAAAAAAAAATAGAAATTTAATTTAAATATTTGGTGTAGGATTTTCCAAAAATATTCAAGTATTCACAATTCTTGGAAATTCATTTGTTTGGCTTTTTTATTTCGTAAGTAATTTGAGAATTTTAACATATATGGTCACTTAATGGTTATTGTTCGTATCATAAATGTAAACACATCATTTCTCTCAATTATTAGAGAGTCATTTGCCAAGATAGCGTAGATCATGACTTAAATTTCTGGATTAGAAATTTTTAACTAGATTCTATACTTCAAGAAGACGGCTTTGTTGGAATAAAAGGGGTGGCGGGAATTTTCAAAATCTCTCTCTGTTCTACAAATATTTCCATGGCAACTGCTCAGGTGAGCTTTTGTCTTTGGTGCACTGACTACGTGGATTTAAGCGTGCAAATAGATTGACAGCTAAGCCTCAACATTTGACTGTTAAACAAGCTAGATACAACATCGACTTATACACAAACAGTTTTATTTTCTCGCACTTCCCGCCTGTGGAATTCTATTTCGATTTCTTGCTTCCGTGATAACTACACTCATCGAAAATTTGGACAACGAAAGCGTAACGTCAATTGTCATCTTCTGTTTTCTTAAACCCCATGTTAGTTTTTGTCCATTCCTCAATCCTCATTCTTCGCATTCTCTTTAATTTCACTCCTTGCGTCTTAGTGGTATTATCGCCTTACTTGGGGGTGAAAGAATTAAAAAAGATAATTTTAAATAATTTTTTGGGTAAAACAATCTGGGAGGTATTTCTATTTTGCTGAAAATCGGAAAGAAAAAGCCGAAATCCCTTGAGAGCATAATGAAGAGAAGGCTAGGAAAATTTAATTCTCGCAGGGCATATCTAGGGCAAGAAGAGGCAGGGGACCACCTATTAGACGAGCTTTTGTTGAATGTATTGCGTAATGGGTGGCGGAAGACATGACAATGAGGCAAACGTCACGAGGTAGAGAAAGTTGTAGAGAGCCGTGATAGCCCATATCCTAAAGGAATGAGACACAGAAGAATACATGCAATAGAAATATTTATTTAATGCAAAGGAACAATTGCATCATGTGTGAATGTCATTTCATTGTCCCTCTCTCTGCAGCTGATATATTAACTTAACAAGCCAATCAACAAAGCTGCAAAAGCAAGATTTTCAATAAAACACGAACTTACCGGCTAGGGGCGAAGTGACAAGCATACCAGACGTGACTCGAGTCATATGTCTGTAGATAAGACAGACCTGAGCTGGCGGGAAGTCAAAATAATTGGGCAACCAACATGGGTCGATGAATGAGCGCTTAGCGTAGCGGTTATCGGCGTTGGTATTCGAATACATTTCCCATATTTTTGCAAATGTTCCCGTTGGTAAGATATGAACGCATACTGCCTTCTCCCCGCTATGGGGTAAATAACATAATACATTAATCTCTCTTGTTCTTACTATCAAAAATTCTATTTTCTCTGGAGAACCAAAAGCGTTTATACACTGAAGGTTAATTAAATGATTTATCGATAAGTTTCCCTGGCTTATTACCACATATTTCATATGATTTTGTCATTTAAACAATATTTACACTATTTACATTATTCTGACTATTTTCCTTATCTTTGTTGCCATATTTATCACAACATTTCGGCCGTTGTACGCTCAAGCCTTCTTCAGGTGGTTGGAATGTCGAACTGAACCCTTTATTTCGCTCGCTGGTGTATAATTTTTTAGTTCCATGTGCCCTGTCTAATGGATGTCAGTTATCAGTTATCTCCTGTTAATTTCCCACTGAAAGTTCTCCACTGCTTTAACCGGGTATTGAACTCACACTCTTTGGGTCCTGTCACTGGATCTAACTAACGCCTTTATCCACTGTGCCATGTATCCTTAAGGACATTCCAACCACCTGAAGAAGGCTGGAGCGTACAACAATTTTCATTTAAACATAACATTAGAACATATAAAAATTCAACACGAAAAGACGATGGACATAAGAGCACAACTAATCCAAACAGATAACTGAAATTTTTATATAAGATCAGTGTTCCGTTTAAATATGATCACGTCGTCGTCACGTGGGCGATGTTGTGAAAACGTATTCGAAGATGATTTCCAAATATTAAAATATTAAAAAAGTCGATTGAACTATTTTATGTAAACAGTTCAAGAAATCCCTTCCGTTGATATAAATATTTATATGTTCTAATGTTAATTATGTTTAAATGAAAATGTCCATGAAGATGGTCTTAAATAGACCGAAACGTCCGACGTCGACTTTATATTAACATTAATACTACATAATTGCATATTAAGATTTTTGTTTGTTTTTTCTTTATTTTTCTTCATACTGTCGGATCTATATCAATATATTTGCTTACACACACACACACACACACACACACACACACACACACACACACATATATATATATATATATATATATGAAGAAATATAGTCTTAAGATGTCCTATATTTATGAGATAAAGTGCTCGATATCAGAGATAGAGCGTGTGTAAGTATAAAAGTGAACATAAAGTCCACACTTACAGGCGACAGTCTTTCATGCTATATGCAATTGTCAGGCCTGACGATTGCATATAGTATGAAACAGACTGTCGCCTCTAAGTGTTGACTTTATGTTCACTTTATATTATATATATATATATATATATATATATATATATATATATATATCATGGATTGGCTTCGCAAAACGAAGATCAAGTAGGAGTCTGTACACGTCTCTTGCAGGCACGTTTGTGACTGATAAATCCAATGTCGGACATGCATAAACGGTGACAGTGGTTGCAGCTGAATATCCGCCCTGGGCTCAATGGCATAGCATTGCAGTACTTCATCGTCTTCCTCTGAGAGCGGGCCAGCAGCTATTTTCAAACAAGGAGACAGGCTGGTTGGTGATGAGACGCCAGACGTCACGGTTCTCAGCTATGGTTGATCAATGGCACCAAACAATATTTTTTCAGGCTATCTTTGAATCACTTCTTTGGTGTCCCCTCCCCTTCTTACAAACATGGCGTCCATCCTAAACAGTTGGTCGGGCCATTTCCAGGCCCACTTATTCTTCTTCTTCTTCTTCTTCTTCTTCTTCTTCTTCTTCTTCTTCTCTCTCTCTCTCTCTCTCTCTATATATATATATATATATATATATATATATATATATATCACTTGATAAGACACCAGATGTACTGAAACAAAATGGCTATTTTGTAGTGATTTTATGTTATAAATTTCGAATAAATTATACTTGCTTTACTCTGTATTGAGCGGTCTTTTAAGAATAGCATTTTTGTTTATTGGAATTTATTCCGTATACACCAATCCTATACTTGGATATCTATCTATCTATCTATCTATCTATCTATCTATCTATCTATCTATCTATCCAACCTCCCTCCCACAGGCGAGATGCGTCAAATCTCTGCCTGTTCTATCACTACCTCCATGGAAAGTGCTCGGTGGAATTTCTTGGTCCTGCCAATTGAAACATCTATATATATATATATATATATATATATATATATATATATATATATATATTGAACAATAAAAATATTTAAAAAATAAAATCTTCAGACACACTGGGTTGTAGATTAATATTCTTTCGTTTTGATTATTATTATTATTTCATTTAGATTCCTCGACTAGTTTCGGCCAACATGGCCATCATCAGGAGAAATATATATATATATATATATATATATGTGTGTGTGTGTGTGTGTACGTGTGCGTGTGTGTGTGTGTAATATAATAGATGGCCACTCGTATTCGAGGATACCCATCTACTAAGGTGGATACCCAATCCCTATTGTAGACTCTCACTCAGGCACATTTATGCTTATTCAACGAACCTCTGGATTATACCGCAACTATGCTAAGCAGACTTTAGTTACAATTTCTGGGAGAGAGCGTGTTATCTAACAATCTGAACAACGCCAGCACCCTAAAACCCTCGGTCACGATGACTCGCTCCTTCGTGCTGCCACAGCTATCAACGTCCTCCAAGGGTTCCGTCTACTCATTTTCACTCAGAAGGCTTAGGTTAAGCCGTAGTATGGTTTTCTGACACTTTCCAAAGATACCGCATGCTGGGATTTGCCTGCCTCTAGACCGATAACGCCGGGAAGTCTTCTTATTGTCAAATCAACCGTGTATATAATCCCTACTTAAAGAACCTAAGATTAATCTTTCTGCAACCACAACAATAATACTGAGAAAGAGAAAGAGTAAATAACTTGGACAGACAGTGAGGAAAGAGGTATTGCAGAATTTGGAACTCATGGAACATATCGAAGTAACACAGGATAAGCAGAAGACAGTATACAAAAAAAAATGTAATGTTGTTGAAACAGTCTAGGCATGTTATTTTGTTAGCTGAAATGTCTGCCACAGATTTGCTAGTATCTGGTCTGTCCATTGTCCGACATTACAATCCGTCCACAAAAGCTAGCGGGGAGTATTTGATATGTTGACATGATTTTTTCCCTCTTTATCTTCATGTCCATCAGATCAAACTGCGTTCATTTTCTGGGGAAGAGACGGCCCGATGGAGAAGAAGACGCCAGGTCTCCCGGTTTGCGGCTAGATAAAATATTGATTGATGGTTTTGTTGTTGATTTTACCGCTTATCAACCCATAGCTGATTATTTAAAGCCAGAGAATATTTTACATTGTAATAATTTTTGTGGGGAGATTTAGCAATACAAGTCTTACTAATTAATCCATAGCTGGAGGAGAAAAGCTGGATCATGCCTTTCCCAGGGATATTTGCGAATATAACGAACCCAACTGGAATTGGAACTCGGCTCTCCGATTAACAATTCCCAGCCATTGTTCATTGCACCACATCCACATTCAAGCTTACAGTACTTGATATTCCCAAGTAGCCACCAATCTAAGCATTAACCAGGCTCGACATTGCTTAACTTCAGTGATTGTATAGGAACCGATGTTTCAACGTGATATGGCCGTAAGCAGTGGTTAGATCAGACTACAAATAATGCTTGATGTGACAAATGCTGAGTTAATTTATTTCTCTATTCCAATGATTGGTTCTACAGAAGGATATTGAGAATTCCATGTATGGTGTTTGTGAGCAGCATGGAAGTCTTAAATGAAATAGCCACAAAAAGAAAACTTATACAGAGAATTAAAAAAATAGCTGACATTTTTTTTTGGAATATAATGAGGAAAGAAGGCTTGGAGAATTTAACACACACAGTATAGATCGAAGGCAAAAGAGTCAAGAAGAGTCAACAGCATGACCAGTCTGTTTGAATCTATGACAGGATGAGGAATGAGAGTTTTCAGCAAGAGTCAAAGCTTGCAAGGAGACCAATGAATAATTATTTAGAAAGTATAACAATTGTTCACGTCCTGGAGGTACGGCGTATAGAAGTGATCTGACCTGCTTATGTGAGATGTAAAAAAAAATTAGAAATTATTATTTCTGGTCCTAGTGAGACTTCACTACCTGTCCGCCATCTAAACGGAAATCTTCGTAGCGTTTTATTGGGTCTCTGTGTTGAGCGACTCTGTAGTTTCAAAATTAATTTCTTTGATGTAAATATTAGTTCACTTTCGTTTGCTTCCAGCTTCAGAGAGAGAGAGGGAAAGAGCAAGAGAGAGAGAGTGAGTGAGTGAGTGAGTGAGATAGAGAAAGAGAGAGTGAGAGGAGGGAGAGGAAGAGAGAGAAAGAGAGAGAGAGAGAGGGAGGAGGAGAGAGAAAGAGAGAGGAGGGAGGGGGGAGAGAGAGAGAGAGAGGGGAGAGGAGGGAGAGGAGGAGGGAGGGTGAGGAGGAGGATAGAGAGAAAGAGAGAGAGAGAGGAGGGAGAGTGTGTGAGAGAGAAATAGAGAGTGGAGATAGGGTGAGTGAGGGGGAGAGAGAAAGAGAGAGAGGAGGGAGAGTGAGTGAGAGAAAGAAAGAGAGAGAGGATTGAGTGAGTGAGAGAGAGAGAGAGAGTGAGAGAGAGAAAGAGAGATAGTGGAGGGAGAGTATATCAAATGTAAGTAAACATATATTGATTGGAACGTTTCTAAACAGGCAAGAACGAAATATACACAGAATAATTGGAATTTTATGAAGTCTTATAAGAGAAAAAATTGCCTTTATGATTGTTGTACATGTAGCTATAAATATAATGGAAAAAAAAATCCTGTTTGATAACCAGAAGTACTGAAAAGTTATCAGCCTTACCAAGCAGAAAAATCGAACGTCATGAAACTTTCTATTCAAAATATTCACACCTGACAAAAGGTCTCTCAATCTAACCTTTTCAAAAAGGATTCTGATATCTGGATATTAAAATATTGATCTTGGGAAAGGCGTCGAACCGATGACCTTTCAGAAAAAGAGAAACTCATAATCACCTGAATTATTTTTTCGGGAAATACTTTTACTTCTGCAGTGCAAATGGATTTTCTCGTTTATCTTCCTATTTGTTTACCTGTTCACCTTTTATTAAACAGGAAAATGATGAGTTTATAGTTAGCTTGAGGGTTTCGACATTTTCTTCCGGAACAATTCGTTCTTTTTTTATATATCTTAATTATACGTATATACCCTAGAGTTCAAAAATTTGAAACGACCCCAAGAAATAGAATGAGATTAACTTAGTGGAAGAGTGAAATGTTTCCATCCAAAAAATGAAAAAAAAATGATTTTAGAGTCATTGATAAAAGAAAGGAATCAATTAACAAACTTATACTTAGAGAAACATTTGCAAAGAATGCCAAAAATTACTATATTCTTATGGGAACCTTTTATTCTTTTTTTAGTCGTCAATTTGGTTACAATTAAAACCTATTTTAATCATGTTCCAATGACTCTTCCTCATTCTCTATTTACAAGTATGTCATTGATTATTTTGTTTTATTCGCCAACGTTCACATTTTGAGAAAGTGTGGGCCGAAGGGCTCTCCTAAAGGTCAAATAACGTCCTCTCTATGAGCACCGGGAAAAATGGTTGCTGAAGATATTAGGTTTATAAAACCCAGAAATTCATACACAGATGTCCTCAAGCACAGTGGATAAAGGCGTTAGTTGGATCCAGTGACAGGACACAAAGAGTGTGAGTTCAATACCCGGGTAAGGCAGTGGAGAACTTTCAGAAGGAAAATTAACAGGAGATAACTGATAGCTGACATCCATTAGACATGGCACGTGGAACTAGAACAGTCTACCTCAGTGAGCGAAATAAAGGGTTCAGTTCGACATTCCAACCACCTGAAGAAGGCTTGAGCGTACAACGGCTGAAACGTTGAGATCAATATGGCGACAAAGATGAGGACAATAGTTCGAATAATGTAAATAATGTACATAATACCTCATCTCAGAAATATAGAAAGAAAGAACTCCAGAATATCCACATATGCACCTTATTATATATAAAAAAAGTAATTCTTTTTTGAATGATATGGCATATGGGAGCACAATACAATATTTAGGAAATCACAACTGCTCCTGAAGTCTTCATCAGTAGATGGTGCTGTATATTTCTGTTATTCTATTTTACAAAGAAATTTTCCTTTCGTTTTTTGCTTCAATTCTTCTATCCTATTATATTTTTTTCTTATGGTCAGAAAATAATTTTTCCTTCTTTTTTCAATTCCTTCGGTATTAAACATAAAGTTCTGTCTTTTATACTTCTTACTTGTTCGTGAAAAACTATTTCTTTCTTTCCGTTTCATTCTTGAAGTTATTCCTTTCTTCCTTTCTGTTACATTTTCCTTCTCTTCTTTCTTTCTTTCTTTCTTTCTTTCTTTCTGTCTTTCTGTCTGTATGGTCTTTCCCTCTTTCTATTACGTCTTTATCTCCGTAGCTTTCTTTCTTTTTTTCTTTGAATTTTCATTCGTTTTTATTCTTTTTCTTGCTTTTCGTCGCCATCCCTTATTTTTTTCTTTTTTTTTGAATTTCCGTTTCATTCTTGACTTTATTCCTTTCTTCCTTTTCTGTTACATTTTCCTTCTCATCTTTCTTTTTTTTTCTTTTTTTTTCTTTCTTTCTTTCTTTCTTTTCTTTGAATTTTCATTCGTTTTTATTCTTTTTTTCTTGCTTTTCGTCGCCATCCCTTATTTTTTTTTAATTTTCTTTCCGTTTCATTCTTTTAACTTTATTCCTTTCACTTTCTTTCTGTTACATTTTCCTTCTCATCTTTTCTTTTCTTTCTTTTCTTTTCTTTTTTTCTTTGAATTTTCATTCGTTTTTATTCTTTTTTCTTGCTTTTCGTCGCCATCCCCTTATTTTTTTCTAATTTTCTTTCCGTTTCATTCTTGATTTTATTCCTTTCTCCCTTTCTGTTACATTTTCCTTCTCATCTTTCTTTCTTTCTTTCTTTCTTTCTTTCTTTCTTTGAATTTTCATTCGTTTTTATTATTTTTTCTTGCTTTTCGTCGCCATCCTCTTATTTTTTTCTAATTTTCTTTCCGTTTCATTCTTGACGTTATTCCTTTTCTCCTTTCTGTTACATTTTCCTTCTCATCTTTTTTCATTCTTTCTTTTATTCTTTCTTTCTTTCTTTCTTTCTTTTCTTTCTTTCTTTCTTTCTTTGAATTTTCATTCGTTTTTATTCTTTTTTCTTGCTTTTCGGCGTCATCCCCTTATTTTTTTCTAATTTTCTTTCCGTTTCATTCTTGACTTTATTCCTTTCTTCCTTTGTGTTACATTTTCCTTCTCTCCTTTCTTTCTTTCTTTCTTTCTTTCTTTCTTTCTTTGAATTTTCATTTGTTTTTATTCTTTTTTCTTGCTTTTCGGCGTCATCCCCTTATTTTTTTCTAATTTTCTTTCCGTTTCATTCTTGACTTTATTCCTTTCTTCCTTTCTGTTACATTTTCCTTCTCATCTTTCTTTCTTTCTTTCTTTCTTTCTTTCTTTCTTTGAATTTTCATTCGTTTTATTCTTTTTTCTTGCTTTTCGTCGCCATCCCTTTTTTTTTTTTTTTCTAATTTTCTTTCCGTTTCATTCTTTTTCTTGCTTTATTCCTTTCTTCCTTTGTGTTACATTTTCCTTCTCATCTTTCTTTCTTTCTTTCTTTCTTTCTTTCTTTCTTTGAATTTTCATTCGTTTTTATTCTTTTTTCTTGCTTTTCGGCGTCATCCCTTATTTTTTTTCTAATTTTCTTTCCGTTTCATTCTTGACTTTATTCCTTTCTTCCTTTGTGTTACATTTTCCTTCTCTCCTTTCTTTCTTTCTTTCTTTCTTTCTTTCTTTCTTTCTTTGAATTTTCATTTTTTTATTTTTTTTCTTGCTTTTCGGCGTCATCCCCTTATTTTTTTCTAATTTTCTTTCCGTTTCATTCTTGACGTTATTCCTTTCTCCCTTTCTGTTACATTTTCCTTCTCATCTTTTTTTTTTTTCTTTTCTTTTCTTTCTTTTTATTCTTTGAATTTTCATTTGTTTTTTATTCTTTTTTCTTGCTTTTCGTCGCCATCCCTTATTTTTTCTAATTTTCTTTCCGTTTCATTCTTGACTTTATTCCTTTCTTCCTTTCTGTTACATTTTCCTTCTCATCTTTTTTTTCTTTCTTTCTTTCTTTGAATTTTCATTTGTTTTTTTTTTTCATTCTTTTTTTGCTTTTCGTCGCCATCCCCTTATTTTTTTTTCTAATTTTCTTTCCGTTTCATTCTTGACTTTATTCCTTTCTTCCTTTCTGTTACATTTTCCTTCTCATCTTTTTTTTTCTTTTCTTTCTTTTTTTTTTTTTTTTTCATTCGTTTTATTCTTTTTCTCGCTTGTCGTCGCCATACCCTTTATTTATTTCTAATTTTCTTTCCGTTTCATTCTTGACTTTATTCCTTTCTTCCTTTCTGTTACATTTTCCTTCTCATCTTCTTTCTTTCTTTTTTCTTTCTTTCTTTTTTTTTTCTTTGAATTTTCATTCGTTTTTATTTTCTTTTTCTTGCTTTTCGTCGCCATCCCCTTTATTTTTTTTCTAATTTTCTTTCCGTTTCATTCTTGAATTTTCTTTATTCATTT